GATCCCGGTCCCAATCCCCGACCCCCGCTTCCCGATCCCCATCCCGATCCTGATCCCGGTTCCGGTCCTGGTCCCGATCCCGATCCAGGTCCGGATCCTGGTTCCGGTCCCCATCCCGATCCTGATCCCGGTCTCCAACCCGGTCCGGGTCCCGGTCTGATCCCCATCCCTGTCCCGATCCCGGTCCGGATCCCCGATCCCCATCCCCAACCCGGTCCCGGATCCCGATCCCGATCCCAACCCCGGTCCCGGTCCGGATCCCGATCCCGATTCCGGTCCCGATCCCGATCTTGGTCCCGACCCCGGTCCCCATCCCCAACCGATCCCGGTCCCGGTCCGGTGGCTGTCCCGGGTCCGATCCCGGTCCGGTGGCTGTCCCGGACCCGATCCCGGTCCGGTGGCTGTCCGGGTCCGGTCCGGTCCGGTGCCGGTCCCGCTCCCGGTCCCGGCGCGATGTGAGCGCTCCCGCACCATGTCCCGGCAGCGAGGTACGGGGGGCTCGAGGGGATGCGCGGCTGGGGGGGACAGACCCAAAACCGGGGGGCAAAGGGGGTTCAGCGCCCGGGGGAGCTGCGCGGGGCCGCCCACGCGGGGACGGCGGGCGTGGGGTGCCCGTGGGGCGTGGGAGGGGAAAGGGGGTTCGGGAAAAGAGGAGAGGGAGAAAATGGGGCGGTGGGAGGGGCGGGGGGCCGCGGGATGGCAGCCGGAGGGGACCAGGAGGGGACAAGGAGGGACGGGGTGTCCCCCGCGCCATTGGGGTGCCATGGCAGGGTTGTGGGGGGGACATCACCCCTTTTCCAGCGCCCTCCCAGGGGCACTTTGGGGGTGCAACAGGCGTGGGGGGAGCGTCCCCACCCTGCGGCCGTGGCCCGGAGCCTCCGCACATGACCAGTGACGGAGCAGCTCCCCGCAGCCTCCTCTGAGTCATCCCGAGCCGGGCCAGAGCCACCCCCGGGGTCCCCTGGGTCACCCCCGCACCCCCCGGGTCACCCCTGTGTCACTCCCGGGGTCCCCCGGGTCACCCCCGCACCCCCCGGGTCACCCCTGTGTCACTCCCGGGGTCCCCCGGGTCACCCCCGCACCCCCTGGGTCACCCCCGGGTCGCCCCGAGTCATCCCCGGATCAACCCCCGACCTGCCGAGTCACCCCCGGGTCATCCCGCATCCCCCGGGTCACCCCTGTGTCACTCCCGGGGTCCCCCGGGTCACCCCCGCATCCCCCGGGTCACCCCCGGGGTCCCCCGGATCACCCCCGGGTCACCCCCGCATCCCCCGGGTCACCCCTGTGTCACTCCCGGGGTCCCCCGGATCACCCCCGGGTCATCCCCGCACCCCCCGGGTCACCCCCGGGGTCCCCCGGATCACCCGGGTCACCCCGCACCCCCCGGGTCACCCCTGTGTCACTCCCGGGGTCCCCCGGGTCACCCCCGCACCCCCTGGGTCACCCCCGGGTCACCCCCGAATCGCCCCGAGTCATCCCCGGATCAACCCCCGACCTGCCGAGTCACCCCCGGGTCATCCCGCATCCCCCGGGTCACCCCGGGTCACCCCCGGGGTCCCCCGGATCACCCCCGGGTCATCCCCGCACCACCCGGGTCAGCCCCGGATCACCCCCGGGTCACCCCCGGGGTCCCCCAGATCATCCCTGGGTCACCCCCGCACCCCCCGGGTCACCCCTGTGTCACTCCCGGGGTCCCCCGGGTCACCCCCGAATCACCCCCGAGTCACCCCCGGATCAACCCCCGACCCCCCGGGTCACCCCCGGGTCACTCCCGCACCCCCCGGCTCACCCCCGGCTCACCCCNGGAGGACATTGGAGTGATGATTTGGGGGGCTCGGGAGGACACCGGAGTGATAATTTGGGGGGCTCGGGAGGACACCGAACTGGCACGGACGATGAACTGCAGCGATGGATGGAACAGGGCGCGGCCCGATGGGCACCGCGGCCGCGCACCGGCGGCGGGCACTGCTCGGCCCCGGGCAGCCCCTTCCCTTGCCCCCTCCCCTCTCCGGGCACACGTTTTGGGCAGGACCCCTCTCTCCCCGCACCCCCCGAGCCCTCCACGCTCCCCGGTTTTTGTTTCCAGCCACTTCCCAGCCGCTCGACCTTGTTGGGATGTAAAGAATGTAATTTCTCGGGAATTCACTGGCCCAAACTTGCCTTTCACTGCTACAAGCGACATATCTATAAATATATATATAAATATGGGTTGTTTTCGGACTGGACTGCAGTGATTCACTTTCTCTGTTTTTGTTAGAGTTTATTTTATTTGCTGGTGTTGGAGAATCCGCGTGAGAGTGATTTTTTGCTTACAATTAAAGGTGAAATGGCTTTATCCAGCCCGGCTCCGCAGCTTTGCTTCCCCCCGCCTCTCCTCGTCCAAAAATCGCCCCGGAGCCGCGCCTCGTCCCCGAGCCCCGGTCCCTGCAGATGGCGGTGCTGCTCCGAGGAGGATGCGGAGCCTTCCCCGCCTTCCTCCCGCCCCGGCCGGGCTGCGCTGGGGGACGCAGGGCGTGTGCGAGCCGAGCCGGGCCGGGACAGCGCTGCCCCGGTCCCGGACCCGATCCCGAGCCCGGTCCGGATCCAGGTTCCGGTCCCGATCCCCATCCCGATCCCGGTTCCCATCCCGATCCCTATCGCGATCCGGATCCAGGTTCCGGTCCCGATCCCCATCCCGATCCGGGTTCCGGTCCCGGTTCCGGTCCCGATCCCCATTCCAATCCCGATCCCGGTCCGGGTCCTGGTTCCGATCCCCATCCCGATCCCGATCCCGGTCCCAATCCCCGACCCCCGCTTCCCGATCCCCATCCCGATCCTGATCCCGGTTCCGGTCCTGGTCCCGATCCCGATCCCGATCCCGGTCCGGATCCTGGTTCCGGTCCCCATCCCGATCCTGATCCCGATCCCTATCCCGACACCCGATCCGCAATCCTGATCCCGATCCCGGTCTGGATCCCGATCCCCTATCCTGATCCCGATCCCGGTCCGGATCCTGGTTCCGGTCCCCATCCCGATCCTGATCCCGGTCTCCAACCCGGTCCGGGTCCCGGTCTGATCCCCATCCCTGTCCCGATCCCGGTCCGGATCCCCGATCCCCAACCCCGGTCCCGGTCCGGATCCCGATCCCGATCCCAACCCCGGTCCCGGTCCGGATCCCGATCCCGGTTCCGGTCCCTATCCCGATCTTGGTCCCGACCCCGGTCCCCATCCCCAACCGATCCCGGTCCCGGTCCGGTGGCTGTCCCGGACCCGGTCCCGGTCCGGTGGCTGTCCCGGGCCCGATCCCGGTCCGGTGGCTGTCCGGGTCCGGTCCGGTCCGGTGCCGGTCCCGCTCCCGGTCCCGGCGCGATGTGAGTGCTCCCGCACCATGTCCCGGCAGCGAGGTACGGGGGGCTCGAGGGGATGCGCGGCTGGGGGGGACAGACCCAAAACCGGGGGGCAAAGGGGGTTCAGCGCCCGGGGGAGCTGCGCGGGGCCGCCCACGCGGGGGCGGCGGGCGTGGGGTGCCCGTGGGGCGTGGGAGGGGAAAGGGGGTTCGGGAAAAGAGGAGAGGGAGAAAATGGGGCGGTGGGAGGGGCGGGGGGCCGCGGGATGGCAGCCGGAGGGGACCAGGAGGGGACAAGGAGGGACGGGGTGTCCCCCGCGCCATTGGGGTGCCATGGCAGGGTTGTGGGGGGGACATCACCCCTTTTCCAGCGCCCTCCCAGGGGCACTTTGGGGGTGCAACAGGCGTGGGGGGAGCGTCCCCACCCTGCGGCCGTGGCCCGGAGCCTCCGCACATGACCAGTGACGGAGCAGCTCCCCGCAGCCTCCTCTGAGTCATCCCGAGCCGGGCCAGAGCCACCCCCGGGGTCCCCNAAAGGGGGTTCAGCGCCCGGGGGAGCTGCGCGGGGCCGCCCACGCGGGGGCGGCGGGCGTGGGGTGCCCGTGGGGCGTGGGAGGGGAAAGGGGGTTCGGGAAAAGAGGAGAGGGAGAAAATGGGGCGGTGGGAGGGGCGGGGGGCCGCGGGATGGCAGCCGGAGGGGACCAGGAGGGGACAAGGAGGGACGGGGTGTCCCCCGCGCCATTGGGGTGCCATGGCAGGGTTGTGGGGGGGACATCGCCCCTTTTCCAGCGCCCTCCCAGGGGCACTTTGGGGGTGCAACAGGCGTGGGGGGAGCGTCCCCACCCTGCGGCCGTGGCCCGGAGCCTCCGCACATGACCAGTGACGGAGCAGCTCCCCGCAGCCTCCTCTGAGTCATCCCGAGCCGGGCCAGAGCCACCCCCGGGGTCCCCTGGGTCACCCCCGCACCCCCCGGGTCACCCCTGTGTCACTCCCGGGGTCCCCCGGATCACCCCCGGGTTCCCCCGCACCCCCTGGGTCACCCCCTGGGTCACCCCCGAATCACCCCCGGGTCACCCCCGGATCAACCCCCGACCCCCCGGGTCACCCCCGGGTCACTCCCACACCCCCCGGGTCATCCCCGGGGTCCCCCAGATCACCCCCGGGTCACCCCCGGCTCACCCCTGGGTCACCTCCGCACCCCACGGGCCACCCCCGGGTAACTCCCGGTGTCCCCCGGGTAACCCCCGGGACACCTCTTGGTCACCCCCGGTGTCCTCCGGGTCACCCCCGGGTCACCACTGGGCCTCCCCCGCATCCCCGCACCCCCCGGGTCACCCCCGGGTCACCCCCGGGTCACCCCTGGGTCACTCCTGGGTCACCCCCGGGTCACCCCTGGGTCACCCCCGGGTCACCCCCGGGTCACTCCTGGGTCACCCCCGCACCCCTCGCACCCTCCGGGTCACCCCCAGGTCACCCTCGGGTCACCCCGGGTCACCCCCGCACCCCCCGCACCCCCTGGATCACCCCGGGTCACCCTTAGGTCACCCCCTGGATCACCCCGGGTCACCCCCAGGTCACCCTCGGGTCACCCCGGGTCACCCCCGCACCCCCTCGTGGCACCGCTCGAGCCCCCCGTGGGCACCGACCCCAAAGAGCAGCCCCGAACCGCAGCCCGCGCTGGCATCACCCGGGCACCGTGCCTTCCCCTGGCATCCCCGCGGCCGCACCGGCCTTCCTCCTCCTCCTCCTCCTCCTCCTCCACCGCCGAGGATGGGGAGGATGGCACAAGGATGAGGATGGCATGGGGATGAGGAGGATGAAGACATGAGGAGGAGGAGGATGGCCGGAGGAGGAGGAAGGTGGCACGAGGATGAGGAAGGTGGCATGAGGATGAGGAGGATGGCATGAGCATGATGAAGGTGGCATGAGGATGAGGAAGATGGCCCGAGGATGAGGATGATGGCACGAGGATGAGGATGAGGAGGAGGATGGTACGGAGATGAGGAGGATGGCACGGGGAGGAGGAGGATGGCAGGATGATGAGGAGGGTGGCACGAGGATGAGGAAGATGGAACGAGGATGAGGATGATGGCACGGGGAGGATGGCACGGGGATGAGGAGGAGGATGGCATGAGGATGTAGAGGATGGCGTGAGGATGAGGAGGAGGATGGCACGGAGATGAGGATCATGGCACCAGGATGAGGAAGGTGGCATGAGGATGATGAGGATGAGGATGGCACGAGGATGAGGAAGATGGAACGAGGATGAGAAGGAGGCAGATGGCACCAGGATGAGGAAGGCGGCACGAGGATGAGGAAGGTGGCACGAGGAGGAGGAGGATGGCACGAGGATGAGGAAGGCGGCACGAGGATGAGGATGATGGCACGAAGATGAGGAAGGTGGCCAGAGGATGAGGAAGGTGGCACAATGATGAGGAAGGTGGCACGAGGATGAGGAAGGTGGCATGAGGAGGAGGAGGATGGCCCGAAGATGAGGATGATGGCACGAAGATGAGGAAGGTGGCACGAGGATGAGGAGGATGGCACGATGATGAGGAAGGTGGCCCGAGGATGAGGAAGGTGGC